CTGTTGAGTGACTGCCTCGGCGCACCAAATAGCCATCAGTGCAAATGAGTTACTTTACATTGTGAGGGATACACATGTTGTCACAGCATTTGCAGTTTAGTGTTTTAAACTTTTCAAGACTAGACAGTCTGTGACTCACTGGATCACAGAGACAAGAGTGCACTGACCTCTGCAACGTAACACTGGTTCTGTCAGTCCTCACGGGCATTTCTTAATTGAAGAAGAAAAAGAATTCAGAAAGAAAAATTACTCAACTTTAGACAAATTTATAATTCCAAAATATAAGCTTAAAGCCCACCAGCACATTACAGAAACATCTAAGAGAAACTAACCCTTGTAGTGTTAAATCCTCTCTGGTTTGGAGTCTGTCATGATTGTGTGAGGGAATGCAAAGCCAGGAGCCACAAACGGGCTTTGGGAAAACCACTCCCTCAAAGCCGATTCGCCTCACTCACCTCCAAATGAGGAGCGCTGTTTCAACAAGTACATAACCTACAACCTTAACAATGAAAAAAGGAAGAAACAAAACAAACTCACAGGTTCTGGCCACATCATCACTACCTTCTGTCAGGAATTTATACTGCTTTCCTGGAGTGCAACTGATTTCAACATGATTCTGCATTTGAAGTAATACTCACAGTAAGTAAGACCCACTCATAACTTTATTTTGACTAAGAAACATTTACCTGCAATGGTACCACTGAAGTGAAATAGTTCAGTTCTATGCAGTATTCTGTAACAACCAGCTTTCTCTTTTGCCCTTCTGTTGCTGAAATGGCACTTTTGGTTCCTTTAACTGTGGAAAAAGTAATTTTAAATGGGAGGAAAACTGGCCACACTATCTCTGAGCTGGTTTGAGTTATCTGGTTGCCTAAGGGCACAGAAAGAAGAAATTAGAAAACATTTCAATGTGCAAGTCCAGAACAGTAAATCTTAAAATGCACTTGTTGAAAAAACTGCTCCCTCTCTCCCATCAGACCTGAAGCCAGTGATGCAGGTACCTTTGCTTTGTTTCCCTGATGTGTCAGTCAGCCACTGTTGCCCTGCAGGAAACTGTTCAGGAGAGGAGCTCTTTGGCTTTGAGGTCATGCACCTAAAGTTGAGCAAGCCGTGGTGGGTTGCCACAGGAGCGAAGCAGGAGCTTTCCTCTTCCACAGAAAATAGCAGATTATTTTATTGTGAGACTTGTGCCTAATCTCTCCCCCCAGCCACAGGTTTTGAAAGACTAAACAGAACCCCAGCACATCCACGTCAAACATGGTACCTGGGTTTGTTTAGAACTGGAGTTCTTTGGGGTTTTCTAAATAATTTCTCCTATAAGCTTAGTGCTGCTGTAAGAAAGAGCCTCGTTTTCCCTTCCAAAGCAACTCCCCGAGACCTGAATTACATGAAAGCGTCTGAGAATACTGGTTCCCCCCTTCTGTGCATCTGTGCTGCAGACACAAAACCTGCCTCAACAGGAAGGACCCTGCTGTTCACAGAGATGGACAATACTGCTGCATGGCAGAGAGGAAATGAGCACCAAATCTGTTCTAGATTAATGAACACAGCTGTATGCTCTCAGATGCCCCTGCAGCAGCAGGGCTTTCCCCAACACCCTGGCCTTAATGAGTGTCAAAGGCCATGTACTTCATCATGTAACACAACAACAGCTGTACCCTCTCAGTATTTTAGGATCCGATCAAAGCATCTGCTACCTTTGTGTCCAGAGTATGAAAGCTCAGCTCTCACATGCTCATTTTAACAGTGCCAAAAGGAAGCAGGAAGCTTCTTGCTGTGTGTCTGAGATCTGGCCCCTGTTTTCTCATTTAAATAAATATAATGGTGCAATTATGAGACCAGTAGACACAGCGGAAAATAACTTACTTTCAAATAAGGCATAAATATTTCCTGTCACAAAAGCAGTAAATACACTGGAAAAGCAAGTTACAATGAGGGGTCTCACAAGCTGAACAGGCCGCCAGGTTGCAAAAATGTCAGTGCTCAGGTGGGAGCACTGCCTTTCTGTGTCACTACTGGCTTAGGAAGGAAGTTGTAACAAGAAGCAACACAGGTGCCACCTTTGCTGATGCTCGTTATTTTTGCTGCATACTTAAGAAAGAGTTAAACTTCTGTCTCCCAGCAAGCTGTGCAGCAGCCTGCAGTAGTAGCATGGATTCATTGTCTAGGGAGAAATACTGGGTAATGAACTTGGGCACAGGAAAATGAGAACGAAGCCCAAATGCCTCTGAAGAAATTGCACTCGAAACACTGCTCTGCTGAGTCCAGAGCCCAGAGGTACCCACACTGAATGAACAGAAGCAAAAGGGCTGGAACTAACACACACCAGTGGAGCTGTCTTGGGGTAAAGAAAAAACAGATGGTGCAAGCAGAATTCCCCGGCTGCTCTCATCCGGCAGCACGCTGCATCAGCCCGGGTGTCCCTTGCCAGGGAGCTGGAGAACGCAGCCACTCACCTACCCTGGGAGTTTCGTCTCCAGCTGTGCACCTCTGGCTCCGCGGGTGGGTACGAGCCCTGGCGCTGTGTACAGCACAAAGGAGCAGGAGGACCAGTGTTGAAAATTACAGCACCATCGACTGCAGCATAGCTCAGCAGCCTTCCTGCGGAGCTGCTCGCCAGCTACACTGAGCGTGCTTAAATCAACAATGCAAATGCTTTTAAGGACACTTTATAAGCACAAAAATAGTAGAAACAAAACTTTGTGAATAATTTGAAAGATACAAAAAAGTGCCTTTCCATAGCAGTGCTTTAAAAATGCACACAATGGTATATACTCTTATTGCTCAAAAAAACTAGTCTGAAATAGTAAAACGATTTCCAGAGGTGCTGAAACAGATTTTTTAAAAATCATGAAACACCAGCAGAGACAGCACCATTAATTTATCTCTTTTCAAGATGCACTTATTTAAAACTCTATAGTTATAGCTGGGTCATTTTTACCCTCTGATTAGCAAAGCTTTTTCCTATTCATAAAGTATTCATTCACAAAGACATTTATTTCATTATTTGGATTTTTAAAAAACCACTCCATTAAAAAAGAAAAAAATAATAAAAAAAGGCATGAGGGACACTGTCACAATATTTCTTAAATCTATCAGCCTGGATTATTCTAATGAGAGAGAAGTTTACATCTTTTTTTACACACTTGAGGATACTGTCAAGTCAAGCTACTTCCTTTGTTTCAATCTTTGGGGGAAGGAAAACACTTAACATTTGCTTTTGGAGAAAAGGTCAACCACCAGAGAAATCATTTGCCATCTGAGCCCTGACAGTGTCCCCATGCTGACAAGGGAAGCTGTAACAACCAAAGATGGAGCAGGTATAGTCCAAGTATTTCAGTTTCTTTACAAAGGTTGTGTACCACTACCCTGTAATGAACATGCATGGTACATAAGACCACTTATGTCAACTACACTACCTTATCACAACGTCCGGATGCGTGGGTAGGACTGTACAATCAGAAACTACTCAAGTACAAGAAAAAGGGCTCTTGAACTTGATCTGGTGATTGGCTGTGCATCGGTGGCAAACGAAACCCAAAGCAAATACAACAGTCTATTATTTCCTACTCATACGGGCCCTTAAATTAAATTATTAGCAAATGTTATTGCCTCTCAAGGTTGTGTTTTTTCCAGTCTTCTCCCTTGACTGCTACAAGTGCAACTTTGTAATTAACAGGTTTATGCATTGACTGCAGTCTCTGGTGGGTCTACGAAAAGAGAAAGAATTCCCACTGTGCTGGTCTGAAATTACCAGTCTCCTCTCTCTAGAAGGAGAAATAATCCTGACAGTTTCTAATGAATTACAAAAACTTTCTTTAAATGCTTCCAGAAACTCGTTTTTGTAGAGATAACCCACCAGGCCCAGACAAGGTGAGACTGTACGCTGTGTACGCTGCTGCAAGAACGTAATGCTCTACAGAAACCTACCTGCTCGTTCAGGGAAAGAATTACATGTGCAAGCGATGTGTCGGCACGCGTCAGCCTTGGGGGTCAGCCTCGATTGCAGGAGTCCTGGCAGCTTTCAGAAGGGGTTAACACAAATATATTTATCTTGAGCCATAGAAAGAAGTGATGGAGCCTACTAGAAAGTTAGAATGCGTAATGGATTGGCATAATACATATTTATCCTATTTGCTGCATGGAGAAATAACTTGGAAATGATTTGTAGCAGTGTATATTTTTTAAACTATTTGGAAGGGAGGGGGAGGCTCTTTATAGTATAAATATATTTCACTCCAGCCCACTATATATAAAATCTCTTTTCTTCCTCAGAACATACTCATCTTCAGTAGTATTATGACCAGAATGTTTTGGTATGTTGCCATCTGTACTTTTCAATCAATAGACAATGTACAGTTACCAGCAGAACACTTCAGCTCCGCACCAACCACCCACCACAAACTGCCAAGAGGTTTGTGGGGGGGTTTTTTGTTTGTTTGTCTTCCTTTCTTTAAAGTGCCCCCTACATCTTCATCTTTGTGGCAAGATTTGACTAGTTACAGAGTCCGATTCCAGGTAATACAGTGACTGAAACAATAAATACGGTTCTACAAAAACATTCTGGTTATCTTCTGTAATTGCGACGAAATATATCACAATATATTATATACCTACACTTATAATACATGCACAAACATGTCTCACGTGGACAGACACTACAAAAAATTATCTCCCCCCCCTCCCCTAAATGCAGAAAAAGTAAGAAAACGGGGGTTTGGTCCAATCTGTATGAAGGGTAAAAGAAATTGAAAGGTTAAGTCAATGCTTCTCTACCCACATTTCCCAATAAAATATCGACACCCCAAGCCCCCAGCTTTTTTGGCCTAGCCATGAAAGGGTAATGTCTTTTACATTTAGCCTTAGCTACAGTTTGAGATCACCTCTTTTGATGGGGCTGTCATCCACATCCCCACATCTTCTCCAAGTGCGCAAGACCACAGGGTGGCCGATCACGGAGCGGCCCACAAGTCACGGAGAGCACCGGCCCCTGGGGGTGGTTACCAGTCTCGCGACAGCTTGGTGTTCTGATCCCTTTTGGGAGGCGCAGGGGGTGGCCCCCTCCGCAACGTTGCATAGCCGGATAAATGACCGCCCCCAAAGCTGCTCGTCTTCTGCTGGTCAGCCAGCAGCTCCGGTGGAGGTGGAGGCAGGGCCATGTCGTCCATGGTGGCCGTGGGCTCTGTTCTGGACATCCGTGCGGAGGAGAGGGAGCCGTGCCGGGTGATGGATTTCCGCTGCAGCGTCCGGTTGAGGTCTGCCAGGAATCCCGGCTGAACGCTAAGGCTGGACTTGGGTGAAGTGGGCACTTGAGGGGCAGCTGACCCCGGCGGCTCTGCAACCTCCGCCTGCGTCAGCCGAGTGCTGTCGTTCCGCTTGGGGCGTGTGGGTGGCGGAGCCTTTTTCACAGGTGGTTTTGACCACGCCTGAGGCTGGGGATTGACAACCGCGACTTTTGGGGAGGTGCTGCCTGAAAACACGGATGGGATCTCAACCGGTGGGAGAGGAAGATCTATTTCAGGTGGTGGCGGTGGAAAGTCCGAATCGGATGGTGGCGAAGGGAATTCAACCACAGGTTCCTTCTCAGACACACCCAGAGCAGGAGCCTTGGCCGGGATCCCTCCTTGCGGGAGGACAATGGGCAGGCCCACCCCAGAAAGGTTGAGCTTTCCTGGCTTTGGAGGGGCTGCAGGAGGTGATGACTCCTTGGAAGGAGACCCTGACAGCTCTGGTGGGTGTGCAAATTTGCTGACAAGGCGGTCCACTGAAGGTCTCTTGGACTCATGGTACTCGGTGGAACTGGCGGACTTGATGCTGGAGTTTCGCTGAGGTGTTGGAGGTGGTTTCTTCCCTCCAGGGCTTGACGTCTTGCTGGTCTTTTTGACTGGAGACCCTGATCTGTCAGGGGGGGGAGAACCTGCAGAGGAAGCTGGGGAAGGAGGTGGAGGAGGAAACACTAAGCTGCTCTCTGGTGGAGGAGGGGGGAAATCTGGTGAGGGAGCAGAAGCAGGCTGCCATTTGGGCTTTGCCTTCACTGCTGGAGGTGACTGCGGAGCCACGCTCAGCGGAAGGGGCTTTAGAGGCTGGGGCTCAGCGGCAGGCGGGGTGGGAGGAGGTGGGAACTGGCTAACTATCTGTTTCACCACCGATGGCACTGGGGACTGCGGGGATGGAGGAGGCTTCACAGAGAAAC